TTCTGAAAACTGATTCTGCTTCTGCTTTAAAAAAGAAGTAGAAGCAGAATTAGTTCCAAACACCCCCGTAAATAGGGATGGAGGGAGTACATGATCAAATGACATTATTTCTCAGTATTGCCATATTAACTAATATATCCTATTATCTGGAACTGGTCTCAGTTGATCAGAAGGAGATACTTTTCGGATGACTTGCCGGGCAGTGCTTGGACCACCCTAGTTGACAAACCATTGCAGCAGGGTGAAATATCTAGTGAAGAGGATAACCCCTACAAGAATTCAAGTTCAAGGTGCAATATTTACTTCTGTCCCGAAAAAACAAAGAAAACTTGAAAAACTCAGGATGATTATATTGAACATGCCCCTTGCCCACATATTTGATTTATGTCTTCTTTCATGTATAGTACTTAGATACTAAATATTAATATTAATATTAATAGTACTTTGGCTTCTTCTTGGTTACAGTTTGACAGGTGACCACCCTTATCATAAATACAACAGTGCAGCACTCCCTCCTCTTCCAGCGCAACATAATCTCCCACCACCTCCCACGCTTTATCCTCAACAGCCAATGTCGACTCCCGACAATAATAATTACAATTACCTCCACGCCCCCCTGAGATTTGGCTCCCAAGAATTTGGCAACAGTACTAGTCGATATAAGCGTACAGACATTAATGTTTGATGATCTTCATTTTTTTATGTTGTTATCATCCATTATCATCCACAGAGTGAGTACATCTTCAATTCGAACTCCAGGCTAATACATATTATTCAGGCAAGCAGCCTTGATTTCTCAAGTGTTATTTTGATATATTTTTTGTTTAAAATGCACACCCTTAGTGATTTGGCTTGACTCGTGGATGACTTTCTCTTTTCCCGCCTGTAAAAAAGTGTGATATGGTCCAGGCAGTAAATACACTTCACTCCCACTGTCTTCTCCTCGTAGTCTTCATCAGAAATTCTACTTTTTTGTGGCATTGGAACTTTGTACTCTTAAGCTTTTCTTTATTGGCGACATTATATATTTTTTAATCTGGTGACATTCATTGTGCTTGCAGTTGACATAACTTTTTTTGGTCTTGAAGTTTATTTATTAAAATTGTAACATATTTGATTTTTGTACTGTCTAATTTATCTAGTCCGGTTTCAGTTCCTGGACCAACAGATTCCCCAACTAATAACCGGTACTGACTATGCCGGTTCTGGTCCGGTTCCTAGCGTGACATTTCAGTTCTTTGACATCTTCTTACAATATACATTGGTGAAGAAATTGTGGGACGTACGTCGACTAACAAAACTTATGCTACATCAATCCCAAAATAAGCATTTCAAATGCCTTGTCGAAGTAGATGATATTTTCTCTTAATGTTTGAAATAATTTTTTACTGCAGAGTTTCATTATATCATTTCTTGTACCAAAAGCAAGTGAAATGTTTAATGAGACAGACTAGGGATGGACTTGGTTCGGGCTGCCCGGAACCGGCCCGGTACTGTGCGGAACTGGCCCGGGAAACCGGTTCTGGTTCCGGGCTTAGGCCCAGCCCGAGGGGGTAACTGGTTCCGGTTCATGAAAAGGCGAACCGGCCCGGCCCGTCCGGGTCCTTTTTTTGGTTTTTTTGGGTTTGGGCTGGGTATAGGTGGGCTGGGTGTTTCCGAGGGGTTTGGGGGTGGTGGGGGTTGAAATAAATAAGAAAAAAAAAATTGAACCGGCCCGGAACCGGTAGACTCCCGGGCCGGTTCCGGGCCTTACCCAAACCCATCCAAGCTCGGCCCCGGCCCGGGTCCATCCCTAGGACAGATGTAGACATGTCGTTAGATTTTGTCATGTCAACTTAGAAACCTAGTTACTAAACTTGTTTAAAAAGATGAATGAGATCACCTAGAGTCCTAGACACCTACTACTCGACCGATCACTCTTTGGCTGAACTTGCTTGCTCATTTGGGAATTGGGATCGAATGGTCATATCTTATCTTGAGGTTATTCCGATCAATCCCTTACAATTCAGGCTCGATTGGGTTAACTCAACCCCTATATAATTTATTATAACGGATAACTAGGATCTAGGCAGGGGCGGAACCAGGGGGTGCGAGCCGGTGCTGCCGTAGCTTCTCATCTTATTAGTATAGGGTATTTAGTCTTCCGTCCCTGTAGCTTCTCATCTTCTTCCTTGTGAAGAGACCAGCGCCCGGGGCTCCGATTCAGCGAACAGAGAGATAGAAGACTTCCAGGCTGTATTTTTTTTAATTCAACTAATCTGCCAAACGACGTCGTTTGTCTAAGTGCACAGAAATAAACAAAACGACGTCGTTTTTTACCCAATCTGATAAACCCGTTTTCACATTGCATCCTCACCGCATAAGCGCATAGCGGCATATAGGATAGAGCACACTCGCCTCGCAAGAATGCAAGATTGCCCCTTCGCCCTCAATCGCCGGCCGCCTTAGCTTGATTCTCAAGATTCGAAGTGATTCAAGGCTGTCAAGCAGTGAAGTGACGAAGTCCGTTTGATAAATACTCTGAACTCTGAAGCGGTGAAGCCAGTTGCCTATATTCAACAGTTCGGTACTTTGGTCTCTCGTAAATGCTTTCAAAATTGAAATCTTTTTAATTAGTATAATTGCTTATTTGCTAATTGCTTTAATTACTTTTTTATTCTAAATTGAATTGATTAATCACTGGACAGTTTGAATTCTTTTGTAATTTTATTGATTAATTAATTTAATTTCTTTAAAATTTAATTGATTAATTGCTTGAATTGATATGAAGTTGAAATTGTTTGTACATTTTTTTAGATTAATTACTTTCATTGCTTTACTTGCTTTGAATTTTAATTGATTAATTGCTTTATCTCTAAGAATTTAAAGTTGAAAATATTTTTAACTTGTTAGGTTACTCATGTAATCATGTTTATTTTACAATTTGTAACACGAGGCACTGAATCTTCTAGACGGGATAAAAAAGAAAGTAATAGAGAAAAACATCCTCGTGTGATCCAAAAAAATTATATTCTCTAAACCTTTATAACGATTTTTTTTTTGCATTGTACGCTACTTTTAGCCACCCCTTACTTTTTGTTCAGGTTCCGCCCCTGGGTCTAGGGATAGACCTAGTACGATTTTTGGAGCCACACCGAAATTAGATGGGTGGATTGGTGGTTCATTTATTCGATTTTGGACTATAATCTAGTAATTAGTAATTCTAGTTCCTCCAAAATTGGATCAGGTTGATTCCGTTTTCCTAATTAAAAAAGTTAAATACACAAAATTAGCACAGAACTGAACCGGAACTGGTCGATGACAAATTACAATGCTCGTGGCCATAAGAAACCATTTAGTAATACATTTTGGTACTTAGTTGCTCCAGCAGTCCAGCTCACGGCCATGAGAAAGCATGCCCGGCAAAAGATTACTTCATCGGTAATTTTTTGTGAGATTTGAGTGTTTCTTATAACATAAATTATCCTAAAAAGGAGTAAAGACAATGTGATTTTTCAAAAACAGGAGTAAAACATGTTTTTATTAAATGTGAGTATTTACTTTCATTCTTGGAAAATAGCATATATTAATTCTGGCACTAACAATGTCACATTAATGTCAAGTAATGCGAGTATGATTTCAAGATTACAATAATTTACTTATATTTAGGGCCGGAGAATGTACTACGGAAAAGTACTTCATTTTTATTCTTATTTGAGAAGTGTTTCAACTCTTATAATTATATTAATATATGGAGGTATATTTGGATTTGATGTTGCTTCTGCTTTTTTTTAAAACCAGAAGTAGAATCAAAATCAGTTTGCAGAAGATGATCTCTTCTAGCTTCTAAAAAACTGCTATTAATAGCAATTTGATTGACTCAGAAGTACTCTTGAACTTAAGTCAAACACTCCAATATCTGCTTCTTCTCTCCGAAGGAGCAGAAGCAATTTTAAGAAGCAGATCCAAACACTCCTTATATCTCAATTTTTGGTTTGAAGTACTGGTGGAACCGTCCAAAACGTGAAACGTATATATATATATGCATCAAGAGAGCTTGTAGGTGTTATATATATATAATGAAGCTTGTTGAGTTTGTTGTGAAGATGATGGAGATGCTTGTATGTATGTATGTATGTATGTATGTATGACGAAAGGCTTAGGTCTGAATTGGATCGATGGATACCAATTAAACGCCGCATGCAGAAGTGGCGACGAATGCGCGGGTGAGAGAATGAATTGAATGATAGCTAGCATGCAACAAATAAATAAATGTTTGAAGGAACTGAGCAGTAGCAGATAGGAAGGAGGTTTTGAACCAACCACCACCAATATATCTAATTTAATGCATGCAAAGACTTACTTTCCGATCCAATTACACCGCTAGCGAGGTCTCTCAATGGTTTGAATTCTGACCATACTTTGCGACTATTAACATAAATTAATACGTCTCCCTAAAATTGAGACAAAGGGGGCTGATGTAATTAATTAATAAGAAAGATGGAACTGTAGATTGTAATTAAGTTAGATTAAAACTTTACAAGATAAGATTGAATGAGTCCTACTTTGAGAATAATATAATGATACTACTCCCTATTTAATTAATCAATGGCGGAAGTATATTTGATTAATTCAGTGGTCAACCAAAAAGAGTGACACAATGTCAACCATTGAAACGTATGTGAAGGGCACAAATTGAATATGAATTAAAATACAAGCGGAATGCTGACCATCGTCTTAATTGTTACTCCGTAGTTTTAAATCATTACTACGGAGTATATTTCACCATAATATTTTTTTTGGTGAAAATTTTACCATAAAATATATCCATCTCTATTTAAAAATTCACATAGATTATTGGCTAAAATGGAAACTATTTATCTCAATAAAAAAATTGAAATTTCTCAAAATAGAAATAAAAGCATCAATAGGGGTACATGTTTTTCCTAAATAGAAGGATAGCACTCTGACACTGTCCAGTAGGATAATCTTTTAAGAGGTGCAATAGGTGTTTGGCATCAGGGCTCACTTGTATACGTTTTTTGAAAAGTTTGTATGTAGTAATATTTATAAGCTGATTTTTCTAGATGTTCCATATTATTCAAGATTCCAATAGTTGTCTCACTTTTAGATTGTTACTTTAATTAAACATTACTCTCTGGATGCTCGGGCGATGGGTAAGAAGTTGACATCATCATTATCATCTCCTTCCTTCTATATAAATATATGGTTTGAAACATATAATTGATTCATGCATCTAGCAGCTCAGATCGGTCGAGAACAGAAAAGATATACATAGATCGATGCATGCAATGGGAGAAGTATTAGCGATAGGGTACATGGAAATACTCATAGCGGTGGCGTGTTTTTTCTGGTTTTGCTACATATGGAGGGAAGACAGCAAGGGGCTTCCTCGGAGCTGCCCGGTTCTGGGCATGCTGCCCGGCACTCTCTACTACATCAACCAGATCCACCAGAGGGTCACCATGACCATGCGGCGGTCCGGCGGCACATTCCTCTACAAGGGGCCGTGGCTGGCCAACATGGACATCCTCGCCACCGTCGACCCCGCCAACGTCCACTACGTCATGAGCGCCAACTTCCTCAACTTCCCCAAAGGCCCCAAGTTCCGAGAGATGTTCGACGTCTTGGGCGACGGCATCTTCAACGCCGACTTGGACATGTGGCGGGTCCAGAGGAAGATCGCCCGGGGCCTCATCACCCACATCCGCTTCCACCGCTTCCTCCTCCGCACCGGCAAGGACAAGGTCGAGACCGGCCTCATCAAGGTCCTCCAGCACGTCTCCGACCGGGGTTCGGTGCTCGATTTGCAAGACCTCTTTCAGCGCCTCACCTTCGACACCAGCTGCATCCTCTTCACCGGATACGATCCCGGCTGCGTCTCCGTCGACTTCCCCGAGGTTCCATTCTCAAAGGCGATGGACGATGCCGAGGAAGCCATTCTCGTTCGCCATATCATGCCGGAGTTCATATGGAAGCTCCAGCGATGGGTCGGAGTCGGCTCGGAGAAGAAGCTTAGCCTTGCCTCGAAGACGTTGGATGACATCATCGGACAATACATCGCTATGAAGAAAGAAGAACTTGTGACGACGACGATGCATAAGAAAGCCGACAAAAAGGAGGAGGAGGAGGAGGAAGAGGAAAAGGGGTGTGATCTCCTCACCTCTTACTTGAGAGAGAGTATTACTATTGGTGATGATATTGATACCAATATGATGGGTATAAGGTTAGACGACGACAAGTTCTTGAGAGACATGGTGATGAACCTCATGATTGCGGGCCGAGACACGACCAGCTCTGCCCTCACTTGGTTCATATGGTTGGTTTCCACTCACCCCCATATCGAGTCGAAAATAAGAGACGAGCTCAAAACCCTAATAGTCCCAAAAGAGGACCGCGAGAAATGGAGGGTTTTCAAGCCCGAAGAGTTGAAAACCCTAGTCTATCTCCACGCCGCATTGTGTGAGTCTTTGAGGTTGTACCCACCGGTTCCTTTCCAGCACAAGGAACCGATCGAGGTGGACACTCTTCCGAGCGGCCACCTCGTCCACCCGAAGATGAAAATCATGTTTTCTCTGTATGCGATGGGGAGGATGGAGACGATATGGGGAAAGGACGCGTCGGAGTTCAAGCCAGAGAGATGGATAACTGAGCGAGGGACGGTGAAGCATGAACCTTCATACAAGTTCTTGGCATTCAATGCAGGGCCAAGGACTTGTTTGGGAAAAGAAGTGGCTTTCATTCAAATGAAGTCAGTGGCTGCTTCTATCATACATAATTTCCAGGTTAGGGTTGTGGATGGGCACCCTGTGGAGCCAAACACTTCTATTATTCTCTACATGAAACATGGGTTCAAGGTTAGAGTTCAAAGGATATCAAAGTAAATATATTATTTAATTAATGCTAGCTCGATTTTAAATCATCATATCAACCCCTTCTATCTTTTATACTTAAGATACAGCTTAATTAGCATTAATACAATATATATGTATACTTGCACCTGCATCCAAAAGGAAGTGAATCGATCTGTGTGTACAATATCGATCTATAAGTTCCATATATTTCTTCATTTCTCCTAGTTCTTAAATAAATTAAATCAAAAGCTGTTGAAGTTGACTTTTTTAGCTTAGTCTATATAGATACGATTCTGCGGCAGTTATTTGTGCGTGGTCAAATGGTCAATGAATAGATTGGTACTATACACCATATTTTAATTTGATATCGTACGTAGTTCTCACCATTTAGTTATTGTTTAGATTTTTTAGCCAATCTTGCCATCTGGCAAATCTTGTCATCTTGACAAAATTGTTTGCAAGTTAAACATTATTACGTATTTTAAAATTTTTCAATAAACAATACTCGGTATAAGCTTTAAAAGTACAAAAAACTGCAAAGTGAAAATAGAGAATTGCTATTTATTTCTTGGCATTCCATAATTAACTGTACATATGCTTACGTTATTCTAAGAACACATATTACTTCCGTTCTAAATTGTTTTGCAAAGTCAATATTAGTTTGTAAATCATTGTTAAAGTTAAATCATCCCTCTTGACCAAAAAGGTCAATTTTAGCTGTTTATTTGGGTGTTTTTCGATCACGTTGAATGCGCTTATATTTTCACATATATATATTTGAGTTGAGCAGCTCATTAATTAAGTGCACTTGAACGAATTGAAGGCGCGCATGGAAAGAAACGTTTGGATATTTGCATAGTCAATGGACCTTCAAATCCTCCAATGGAAAAAGTTAGAACAGAGACTGTAGCCTCCCTTAATTGTCACGACTCACGAGAGCCATTAAATATACGAAAGCATATATTAGATCAAATCATAAAATGCAAAATTTCAAATTAAACCAATCCATATATATATATATATATGCTCACTACCCGATCGAGAGAGACCCTAGCTCGTTACCGATTGATGTTGGGTTCATTCAAGTTATTTATGGACGCGGAAAAATAATGTATGTTCACAAACATTACTTTACGCATCACTCACATTGTTTTACACGCAAATATGTATTTCAGTAGAGATGTCAATATATGGTTGCACAAAACCAATGTCTATTGGTGCAAAAACATTAGTTGTCTGTGTCCAAAATTTACAGATTATGTTAGAAAATAGAAGAGATTGTTGGTGTATGAATATGTTAAGTGATTTTAGTGAGGTGTAGTATAGAAGAGTGTTTTAGAGTAGAGCTCTTGTCTCTAGAAAAGAAATATTGTATTGATATTGCTTGGGTTTTCTTAGTGAACAAATGAGTACAGTGAGTCTTATTTATAGGAGCTAGATGATTATTCTAGATCCTTATTAAATACTAGGAATCTAGAGGTTTCTACAACTATGACTAATTACTCTAGATTTTAGATAATAATTCTCTAGTGGAGAATTCTCTAGAATACTTGTAGCTATAGTTCTCTAGAACATCTTTAGCCTTTTCTACCTAGAATATTCTAGATCAATGCATCATTATTTAATAGATTATGACTAATTTTTCAACTTAACTTTTCACGCAAACAAATTTTGGTTATGACAAAACTAATTTTGAACACAAAGAAGATAATATTTCACAAACTGCAATTATGGTGATTATATGTCAGATGACACTCCATCTTTGGGGTTCACCAAAATCAGAAGGCCAAAAATATGAATGTGTATTTGAGATTTGATCAGGAACTGGTGGAAATGATATGAAGTTCCATACCTAGTTTTTACCAGGAATTGAACCTCGGGCCTCTCCTATGTAACACCATCTTCCCACCAATTGAACTTACACTCTTGACATGATTGTACATCTCTATTTGTGTTTTCAAGCTACCGTCCATTTCCAACTATGGAAAATAAGACACAAGATGATGAATATGGATGTGATTAGATGGAGCACGCGACCACGAGGGAGGAAAGGAAAGGGAAAAGAGAAGGAAAAGAGAGGTAGGTAAAATAAATGGTATTTTTAAAGAAAAATTTACAAGAATAATTCTTCTTTTGACCATTTTCTCATAATAATCTCACATTTACGGAATCCCAGAAAATTTCACATTTGCACCTCATCTTCTTTCATTGGATCCTAACCGATTGATGACCTGTTATACCATATTTTTATTTTCTTTTTTAAAACCTTACACAAATAATCTCACCTTTCATAAATCTGCTCAAAGGAGTCTCATGCATGTTTCATTTTCCCTTTTCCTCCCTAAACTTTTTCTTTCTTTATTTTTATCCCTATACACGTTTTTACGCATTTTCCCATCCTTTTGTTCTTATTTATTTTCCATGCTAATTATTATATTTCTCACTGTATTAAGAGAGTTTTTTGTACAATTTCCTTCCCCAAATAGATTATTTTGTCATTTTCTTTTTCCTCCCGTATTTTTATTCCATTTCCCTTTTTGTGTTTCTCTTCTTAATCATTCTTTTTTATTAAAGATCTTTTTCAAGTTTTTCTCACTCTTCTTTTTGTTATATTTTCTTTTTGTTTTCACTTTTCCCCTTTTCTATTCTTGTTACTTTTTTATGTTCTTTCTTCTTTCTTCTTATTATCTTAATTCCATCATCAATTTATGTTTTCTTCTTTCTTCATTACCGTATTTTTCTAAGTAATCCACCAATTAATTCAATCAATTGTGGAAAAACTCTATGTGCTAAAATGATTAGGGAAAAATTAAATTTAAAGAAAAATAAAACATTCGAGAAATGTAAAGAAAAAAAACATTCAGGAAAACTTTATTTTATTTTTCACGAATGTTTTATTTTTCTTATATTTTTTCAAAATGTTTTATTTTTCTTACATTTTTCTAAATGTTTTATGTTTCTTTCAATTTTATTTTTCCCTAATCTTTTCGTTTTTCTCATAGTTGATGAAAGTAATGGATGGACTTAGAAATATACGAAAATGCATAAAGAAAAATATATTAATAGTGGAATTAATATAAAAATAAGAAAAAAGAAAAAATATAAAAAGGTAACAAGAAGAAAAAAGCGGAAAAGTGAAAATAAAAAGAAAATATAACAAAGAGTAGGGTGCAAAAAAAAATTAATAAAAAAGGAATGATTAAGAAGAGAAACATAAAAAGGGAAATGAAATTAAAATAAGAGAATAAAAAGAAAATGATAAAAATTCTACGTGGGAAGGAAATTGTACAAAAGACTCTCTTAATAGAGTGAGAAATAGAATAATAGATATCGAAAAGAAACAAGAATAAAAGGATGGAAAAAAGAATTGAAATGTGCCTAAGAGAAAAAATAAAGAAAGAAATATAAGACTGTTTTGAGCAGATTTGAGAAATGTGAGGTTTCAAAGAAAAGAGAAAACCTTGATATAGTAGATCATCAACCAGTCAGAGCCCAATGAAAGAAGATGAAATGCAAGATTTGTATTATTCTGAGATTACGTAAATGTGATATTATTATGAGAAAATCCGTCAAAGATCACAAATATTCAAAAGTTGTATTATTCTTAACAATTTTTCCTTTTTTTATTGAAAAGTTGTGTAATAAACAGGTATACAAATTTGGTAAACCGAGTATTAATATAAGAAACAGATCAGTACAATAAAAGTATATTAATATAAAAGTATACTTAAAAGTTTGCTATAATTTCTTATTTGTGGTGTATTTAAAAGTTTGCTACATTTCCTTTCAAAAAAAAAGTTTGCTACATTTTATTTTTTTGGTAAGTTTTTCCTTCAAAAATACCCAACTATCTTTACTTTTTCTACTTTTTATCTTCTATTTCCTACTTTTTCACCATTTCTCCTACTTTTTCTACACTATTCATTACTCCTACTATTTATCCTTTACATATTGTGCTAAAACCTAGTGTAGTGACCTTTTATACAGAGGAAGAGCCCGTTAGGTAACAATAAAATTGGGTGAATTGGGTGATTCTGCTGAAATTTATAAAGTTCTGGCTGAAATGTCTGTATATGATGATTCTGCTTATTCATGAAAAAATTACTACCTCCGTCCCCCAAGTTTTGAACAAGTGAAGGTGGCACGGTTGTTAATAAAAGTGGGTTTATGTGGTTGATATTAGATTGATAAAGTAAGAATAAAGTAGGAATGATTTAGAGCCACACAAATTTTACCAAATAAGGTATAGAACAATCTTAGTGGGGCGGACCGAAATGGTAAAATGGGACAATCATAGCGGCACGGAGGGAGTATATTTAAAATATTTGTTTTTTGGAAAAATAGCAGTAGATACATTATTGTCATTCATTTAAAGAATACGGAGTGTTCTTTGGGGGCCGATGTAAACCCTAAAAGCAGTAGCGGCGATCTTGTGCGGCTAGACAAGATCGAATCCGATCGGCGTTTAAGACGAGTAATATAGAGTCAGTTTCGATCGGCCATATTAGCAAGAAAGAGCCCTAGTGTGCGGCGTATCAGCGTCGTCTTCTCCCGACTTATCAACGATGAAGGACGAAGAGGACATGTTCTGGGTTATGTACGTTGAATTTCTCATTACACATTCTCGATAGAGGTATGATCCAATTGGATAATTCTTCTTTGCTGATTGTGTTGATTTTGCTCTATGACGGTTCTTTTCCGGGGACTGATGCTCTGGGGTGGTTTGCCTCTCTCAATGTGGGGAGTTTTGTTGGTGTCATGGCTAGCTTCGTCTGGTCAGGGGCTTCTGTCTGCGTTCTCTTAGAGTGTGTTGACATTGGTAGAGCTCGTCCTCCTCCAGAACCACCACCACCGCATTGGAGCTCGTTCGTGATAATTAGGATGCATCTTAATTTCCACGCTTTTACGATTTTTATTTTTCTGCTTTTCGATCAGTCTATGTTTATTTCATTTACCATTGTTTTGTTCTGTCAAACTCTTACATTAGGTGGGGGTGATGAGGGTTTTTCTCTGGCCACGTTAGGCTCATTTAGACCCATTATATGATTAGCGAATCGTATTGCTCTACCTAGGGTGATTGGTTCTAAGGTTGGTTCGAGGGTCAGTGACTGCAAATGCTCCCTTTGTCTCTTTTGTCTCTTGTTGAATTTTTTATTATTAATATAAGCCGCTTTGTTCCAAAAAAAATGTTTTTTTTATTAAATAAAAAATTATATGAAAAAATAGCTAAAATGATCCTCTACCATAACTTCAACCAATACAGCGAAAAAAATAATTTCAATTCTAATTTTTCTGCTTATTACACAATTTAGTGCGCGAAATCAAAAGTTACGTGTTTGATGAAAAAACTGACAGATAAGCCGGAAAAAAAGGTCATGAAACGGGCTCGAAGTATTAGGTTGCACATTTTTTAGAAGATACTCCCTCCGTCCCATTTATATTGTCCTGTTTTACCTTTTCGGGAAGTCCCACTTAAATTGTCTCATACCATATTTGACAAAGTTTGTGTGACTCTAAACAATTCTTACTTTATTCTTACTTTATCAATTACTATCAACCACACAAACCCACTTTTCTTAATAACCGTGCCACCCACTTCCGGGACAATATAAATGGGACGAAGGTAGTAATATTTTCCGAAGCGATGTATTTAATATATTGACATATAAGAGTATAGGGGTTTAATGCACCAAACCCCCATGTGATTTGGAAATTCGGCGCATTAGCCCCCTGTGATTTAAAAAATGCGTCAAACACCCTTGTGTTTTAATTAATCATGCACAGAACCCCCTTTATGAATAAATTTAACGATTTGAAAATCACTTTTCCTAATATTTTGATTGAATATGCAAATAAACATGTCAAAATCTCTGAATCATACAAAAATGTTAATCATTTTTCTTTTATTTGACAATTGAATTTGTTCACATAAGGGATTTGGCGCATGATTAATTAAAACACAGGGGGGTTTGACACATTTTTTAAATTACAAGGGGCTAATGCACCGAATTTCCAAATCACAGAGGGTTTGGTGCATTAAACCCAACAGTATAGGCGTATAGCTAGAGGATCTACAACTTATGTGTACTTTTTTGGGGCCTTGGGGCTTGGGATCCCTTATTACAATATTACAAAGCACCCAATATTTCATCCATGTCTTTGAAAAAGGGTTGTAACGGGTCTTTCAGAATGTCAGACACCCAGACCCCAATTTCCTAAAGTAAAATTCAAAGCCATAAAGGGTCAACCGGATTCTTGCAAACATTCCTTTTTCAGTAAACGTCCCAAAACAAAAAATTACCTACTTTCTTTTTTGCAAACATTCTTGCAAAAATTCACTTTCTTTTTTGGGTAAGTTCAAATAAACTTCACACTTTTATTTTTGACAATTTTTTAATATAAAATTACCATTATACCTTTACTTTATTACCTACTTTATACCTATTTTCTCTCTCCCACTACACTTTATCTACTTTTTGGGGGCACAATTAGAAAGTCTAAACAAAAAAATTCACTTTCAATCTATGAAGTTCTTTTGGGACCGGAGGGAGTAGCACTCTGCGTGCATATTAGACTATTAGTATCCCAGGTTTGAGAGAGAAAACTCCAACTATGCTCTTAATTCAAGTTTACATTCAAATCATAAAATGGTCTTACAGCATTGAACAAAGGAACTGCAAACTAACTGTATTACTTGATTGTCACAACCGCAAAATTTTAAAATACATAGATTAAACAAAATTAAACCAGCTTGGAAATATTCAGCAAAACAAAATGGAAATGATAATCATGAAGCAAAAATATGCAGCCTTTCCCAGAACATGAAGATCAATACATCACTCTATATTCGCATAATTATAGCTATTTCCCACTTGCCTTGTGGTTGCCATACTCCTGTTTGAACTTAGATATTGTTTTCCAGGACCAAGCATTAGTGTCAACAGCTACTACTCGAACAGTCGGCATAATTTGGAATCTGAACATTTCTAGGTCACGATTGTCCCTTGTCTGCTATTTAGAAGCAATGCATCAGATCAGTGTATACATTCTTTTTTATTAGAAAAAATATATCATGTGTCATTAAGCATAGCACCAGAACTCACTCTCAGAACTGGTATGCAATGCAATTAGAGGTGCCTTCTTTTTTGATGTCTCAGCTGAAAAATTAGGATACAAACTCAATATTTATGAAATGAAGTGAAAATTTGTTGACACCAGCAGCCTAGAAATCTACATGAAGTCGCAGAGTATTTCAGTAAAGATACACAAGCGCAAATTCATACGGAGTATAAAAGTACACATAATTTGATTTATACTCCACCTATCATTTAACTAATGCACCATTTTTCTTAATAGATAAGAATGCAACTACTGTAAAGATACAACAAGAAACAGCACTTTCATAAATGCGAGTTATAATTATAATACTACACCACGGAAGAAAATTTTAGGCATAAAAACTCAAACTACAGACTAGCGAAGGAAAGTACAGAGTGACATACCATTTCTAACAAGATAGAAAATGGAACGACAGAAACCTAATAGACATCGAGAGTACAAAGTATGGAATATGACAATAGGAGTACAGTACCAAGTAAACTATGAGTAGTGAGAAATAATATTATGTCATCATCATCATTTACCCCAGTGCCGCAAAGGCTCCCACCTATGGTAGGGTAAGGGGGGGTCGGATGTACGCAGTCTTACCCTTGTACTAGAGCACAGAGAGACTGTTTCCGGATGACCCATAATGAAAATCGCATCCAAAATTGCATGGACTGACTGCTGCTTCATAACAAAGAAGCAACAAAGAAGCACAGACAGTTTGGTGAGCCATTTTGCTTTATTCCATCATATTCTCAAGCCAAAAAATAATGAATCTTTGACTCCATTACAAATGATGGAAAAGAAATAATATTATGTATCAAGCAAAAAAGTAGTGGCATCGCTACATGTATTCAGAAGGGATACAAATATGAAGTAATGAAGTAATAAATGAATCTTCTTCATGTCTTGTGTCACGAAGTAAAAAACTAATAATTTAAAAGTTTTTTTGAAAACTTGCCTTTGAATTTTCTTTTCTTTTTCGCTCTCCTCCTTTTCCTCTCTTCTTGTGTGAGCTCTGTTTCCTCCTTGATATCCTTTTTTCCAGTAAAAACTTCCTCAGGAGCCAGCATAGCTGCATCTGAGATGGCCACTGGTGCAATCTGCATGCAATCGAGGTCATTCGATGACTCGGCAACTCTTTACAACACGCAAGTATGATAAGAGCTATGAGATGAAAAAGGTTATCACTTGAAAGCAATGTATTACCTCTTCCATTGCAAGAGCAGGGACATTAGTTTGAATAGACATTTCTTCTATGACCTGTTTTAAGTTCATATGTAAGAAAGCATATAACCCCAAAATCAAACAGAACAAATAATAGCCAAATAACCTACAGGCTATAGCTTTACCGGTTTAGGTGCGAAATGGAAATGAGATAACGCATCCAACTTGAGGCAGAGTTTTTTAAACAGCATAGATGCCTGAAAATGTAGAGTAATAGTCAGTAATCCGCTGTTCACATCTTTCTTTATCAGCATTTTGCTTTTAGTTTTGCAAGTGTGCATCTCTACAGATGAGGGTGGGCCCTAAATCCTTGTTTGATTGGGGGTTTGAAAAGAAAGTGACATTTATTACAATAGATGCTTGAAAAGAGAGAAGTTTAAAATATATAAAAAAAAATATGCATTATTTAGTTAAAGATAAAGTTTTTTAGTGATCTATTACTACCAAACAGAGAAAAATTAACACAACAAAAATCAACATAACCCCAAAATCTACTAATTAAACAAGCCTTAAAGGTATGAAAGGGTGCTCAAAGCCTTTTCTATTCCACCTTTGCCCATTGATATATTAGATAGTTTTCCAGCAAATGTTTGCTGTATAAATACGGTAATGTATGAACACCATTCGCCTTCATCCATTTAGTTGTTAATAGCAGGAATGGATAAAAGAAAATCTTAAAAATGACATCAAATAGAATCCTTCTTCCTGTTGAAGAGATGAATAAAAGAAAATCTTAAAGACAAATAGTGCACACCTCTTTCTTTTGCTCATCCGAGAAAGACATAGCGTTTGAAACAAGCCCAGTTTTCTGAACATATTCCTCCTGCATTAATGTTTATTACACATCAGTGATTTGTAAAACAAACTATTGAAAAGAAACAATGGTTTACTACATCTCTATTCTCTAGCACCATTATTACAGCAGAAAACATAAATAAACTCACCTCATACACTTCAGCGAGACCCTTTTTGCTCTTAGTATCATCCTGCATTAACAAAACAAAAGAAAAGGGTAATGGATTCTCACATTACCCATACTTGCTAAAGAATCCGGAACATAAAGAAGCGCATGGTTGAATAAAAGCAACACCAACACATTATTTTAGAGAAAACAAACTACCAGTTCTTTCTTTTCTCTTGGCGCTCGGGATGGCATACTAGGAGGCTTCTTAACATCATCAAATTGTTCCTGCAGTTTAACAAAATGGTGGAAAAGACCTGAATGTCAGTTTTTCATATCATGTTTGTTCTTCTTATTAGCTTCTTCCAAAAATGCAGGTTGTCAAAAACTCAATCTTCTTGATCATTTAAGATTTTATTTAAAGGAGAAAAGTACAAGAATGGTAACAAAAATTTATGATACAAATTTAAATGCCAATTGTCAAAAGTCTGAAGAACTGAACCTATATACTTCTATAATATATAGATAGTTTATGATAATGATGGCATAAATATACAAAATCTGCCAAAACAATCACCTCAAGGATCCGTTTGCGTATCAATTCTTCTAGGGACAAAGTAACCTCTTCTGTAATCACCGGTGCAGGTCTCACATTGTGCTCAAAATCTAAATCAACTTCCAATGCACTATTTTTTGGCCTTTTAGCAGCAGTTACCTGCAATTATGGATTACAATTTTTAATAACAATGAAAATTATACCTGAAAACTACACAAGAATTATTTTACCTCTCCTTGCATTGTCCAGGCCTTTGGCTCTATGTTTGCCTTCTCCATTTCTTCTATCGTGGAGCGTAATTTTAGAAGCTCTCTTTCATGGGTAGAAAGATTGTGGTTCCCCTGTTAGAAAAGGGTATATATGGATGATTGATCTAAACAGAACATAATCACTATCCCCTTCGCCTAGAGAAATAGTAAACACTACCTTATCATCACCATCATCAGTTCTTTCTTCGTCGCTTTCCATGTTAATTGATCTATTACTTGCTTTATATTTTCTGTTGAGATCTGTCTTCTTTTTTTCAAAGAAATCTTCATACCTGTAAACCATTTATGAGCAAGTTAATTTAATGAAAGTCCATTGTATAATGGATATGGAATGGAGCATTCAATAAAAAAGGGTTGTATGGTTCCAAAATTGCTTCCTGAATTTCGATAACCCTAGCATTTAGTTAGTAGTATAAGAGATATGGAGTATCTTATTATTTAAAGTTGGAACGCTGTATTAATACTTCAAAAACTCAAATTTACTTGAAATGAGAAGATGGCACGGACATGACATCATAGAGTTGAAAGTGAACACTTGAAATCACCAAATCAAGAATTAGAAAATATAAAGAACGGAGAGGAGTCCAAGACAGACCAGTAGGAGTAAATTTTGACTTATTGGGCTACATACTTCGGTATAAAGGGGTATTAAATACTCCCTCCGTCCCGAATTGAATTGCAAGAGTTGACCGGCACAAGAATTAAGAAAGAATAGAAATTGATATTTGCTTTTCCAGTTTTCCCTTCTTCGTACAAATGAGAGAACAAAACAAAAAAACTGGGAAATTACAGGGTAAAGTACACTATTGTCAGACAAATGCACTGTGCGGCCTTCTTCTACAAGGTCTCTTGAGGGAAAAAAATGAAACAGTGATACGCCAAAGCAACCCAACTATCTGCCAGAGCCAGAAGTGCTTCGACCCACGACCCAAGTATCTGCTCTAATGAGTGCGGCGGAGACTCATCTCCGATGGTGTCCGAGGGCGGCAGCTCGTCTTGTTAGACTCGCTTCAAATTTCAATGACTATCGTCCTCCACTTATGCAAGAGTTGTCTGAGGGCGGCAGCCACTCATCTGTGAGTTTGATTGAGGGTGGTGCCACTCACCCGGATCTGGGGATTTTTTAGGTGGTGAAACAAGGGGGCCGGAACAGGAGCTGTTTGACCAAGCAAGGGATGGTGGAGCTGCGCCGGAGCTGTTTCTCCGTCTTCATCTTCAAAAGGTGGAGATGGTTCATTGGAATGGGAAGATGAGGAGAGAGGGTGGGTCAAAGTGATGTTTGTATGTGATGGCCTGATGGATGAATCGTGATAGTGATATGGCCTAAGGGATGGGTGGGGTAAGAAAATGGGAAAGATTTGCAGGGTAAGGAGCAAGGGCAAATTTGTAACTTTAATCATTTTTCTATACTTAAAATGAAAAGTAGAAAATCATTTTGGGACAACCAAAAAAGGAAATTTTGCAAAACAAATATGGACGGAGGGAGTACTAATTACAGATTTACAGCCAATAAAATATGAAGAGAATCTAGAAGAGCAGGCCTACAATGGCAAAACCTTTTGAGTTAAATCAGGGGTTAAGATCTAACATAGTAACAAAACATAACAATGATTATGAACAACTTCATAATATTAGTATTGCAGTTAGGCAGAAAATATGAAGTATAAACTAAGGATACTGATTGTGCATCACCTGGCATTTTCCATGTCTGCATCTTCATCGGAAATATCATCATCAAAGTCCACATCTCCAAGCTGAAAAAATAAAGAACATAGGAAAAGGGTTGAAAAATACATAAACATAGGAACTACTAGTCTTCCACAGTACACGACAACACATTTTAAAGCTCAAAACTTTGAAATAGAGATAAATAGACACACCCCATCATCCTCATCTCCTGCACTTTCATCATCGGGCTCTGATTGCTCAACTCTCTTCCTCTTCTTCTTTTTCACCTCCTTCTCGAAACCAAACTCCCTTGCCTCGTCATCTGTCATAAATTTTTCTAGTTCCTTTATTTTCAAGAACTCATCCTCTACTAAGCCAGTACCATCATCCTCCTCTTCTTCCGAGTCCTCTTCTTTCTCCTCATCATCATCCTCATTGTCAACCTGCTGCTCTTCCTCCCCTTCTTCATCATCCTCATCAAAATCATCCAATACAGCATCCTCAATATTGTCTCTATTCCCGTCTAATTCCTCCAATGGTTCTATTTTTTTCTCCAACCCCTTAGATTCTACATTGAACTGTTCTGAAATGCTTTCTGGATTCTTCTTGAAGTAGCTGACTCTTCGACGGATGGAGGAAATCAAAGGTTCCGATTGGAGGTCAATTTGCTGCCATATTTGCTCTGCATCGAAGCCGTCAGTTAAGAGTTGAGGGAAAGGAGACTTGGGGGTGAAGGGCTTGAGGGAAGAGTAGAGATATCGGGAGGCTAATCGAGCGGCTGCAGAAAGATCCAGAGATGGTGAGAGATAGAGAGGTGGCTCTGATGACTTCAGACGCAGAAGCGCAACCTGTCCGTCGTTCTCCATGACGAGCGGGTACCTGAGCAGGGGCGGATCTAGCTTCAGTATCCAGGGGGCCTAAATTTATTTAACTAATGCATATTGCAACAAAAAAAAAGTTAAAATGTAATATAATAATGTCTGTTTAACAAATTTAATTTGCAAGTATAAAATAACATCCATTGCAACAACAAAATCAAAGACAAAAGTAAATATTTTAGGACTAAGACTCTAAGAGTTTTCCTCAAAGTCAAATAGGAAAAACCACAACTTTACACCTGTTCTCTACGGGTTTTCATCTACTTATACCGCTTGATAATGACATCGTTGTCAATTTTCAAAAAAATGTCTTTCGAACTAAACAATAGGTCTATCATTGAGCCAGTCATCACTCATCCGGTTGCTCAACATATCCTTCAGGATATTCATTGCTGAAAATACTCTTCCAATACTAGCTGTTTCATTTCAATATAAATGATGCTCACAAATGACAAATTAGAACTACCGAATCACAAATCATATTCATAGTAAATTCATAATAAATGTTAAAACTAGAAAGTGAGTCACTCAAATAATCAAATGACTAAATTGAATATAATTCAAGCGAATAGGCAGAAAATATCATAACAAACTTAGCAAAGTAGCAATTAGCAAAATTAGAAGAACAAAAAACAAACTCACCGGCGAGGCGGCGAGGGGGCCACTAGGCTAAGAGCAAATATGGTGCGCTGACTCACTGTCGTCACTGAGCAATAGAGCAGTCGAGGTATCAAGAGATGAGAGGCTACTCAGCTAGAGGCTAAGCCGACAGCCGTAAAGCACTGCCACCGTGCGCCGACCGTCCGTAGGGCGACGGCCTAACGGACTACCGACTGACGAAGTCACGGAGAAGTCCGAGTGCAGGGGTTTGGGTTTGGCGCCGATTACCTCTTCTTTGGGGCGGAGTGCGATAGCGAATAGGAATGAGCCGATTACTGCCTCTGCGCCTTCGTCCTTGCTGATTTGGACATTTGGGCCGTTTAATTTTGGGTTTCTAAAAAGGGAAATTTAGTAGGATATGACTAAAACTCAATGAGTTTCTCAATCTATGACCTAACTAGTTTTTATACTTTTATATGACTGAAAATCCAAAAAGAAAAGAAATCTCGTTTTTATTGAAAGGTTGGATGACAAAAATACCCTTATTTAAAATATGTGCATTATGCACTAATTATGTCCAATTAAAATTATTGCACTTTGTATTGTCGTTACTGCACTACATTAATGCACGAATTTACTGCACAACCGATAATAATCACTGCACTTCCATCAAAATTAATTCTCTTCTCATTCACTTGAAGAATTTATTTTTAGTTTTTATTCTGTGTTTTTTAGATTTAATAATTTTATTATTTTATGCCTAATTAATTATAATGCATTTCATGAAGATATTATTGCCCTGTGTTACTGCAATATTGGTCATAATCACTGTACAACAAAATTTCTCAATGCATCCATTCACTGTCATGTCCAAAATGTCTATTATCATATATATTCATTGCTCATACTCAACACTTATTGAACCGCCGATGTTCAATGCCCATATTTAATGCCTATAAACCCTAGTTTTAGAAATTCCTAATTTTAAAAATTGAAAAGCAAAAAGGAGATTTGGGTCAAAGCAACTAGCGAATTATCCAAAGCAGTGGGCCTCCGCATTCAAAAAATTGCTACAAACCAATGATGCAAGAGGCCCATCTTTACGTAACAACTCCAAATCCATCCTTCACGTTATTAACCTGCGCCGCACTCCCTCCTCCCTGCTAGGTTTCGTACACTCTCCAGCAGTAGATCTAGAAGACGATGGCAGGCGGCGGCACCCATGGATCGGAACGGCGGCAGGCGGCAGGGCATGGGGTGGCGTGCTCCTTGACGGCGATCATGCTCCTAGACGACTAGCCATGGGCGGCATGAACTTGGAGGGATATCGTGCTCCTGGATGGCGGGGCATGCGGCGGGGTGCTCCTGGAGGGCGATGAAGCGCCTGGATGCATTTGGCCGGCGATTGTTCCCCTGAAGAGTGGCTGACGGCGGACCATGGGGCGGCGGCGGCAGGGGGAGTGCAGCGGCAGGCGGATGGATTTTTGAAGGTGGGAGAATTGAGGCTAGGGTTGGAGAAAATAGTAGGAGTTTAGGGTTTTATAGATATACCCTAAAGGGTATATTTTGTCCACCTATATTATTTAATTAATTAATTATTACGAATTTGATTAAATATTAGTATTATTTTGGTAAAAAAATTAGTTAAGTCATAGATTGAGAAAGATAAGAAGTTTTAGTAATATCCGGGGTAATTATCTCTTCTAAAAAATGACACTCCTGAGGGTCCCCAACACTGACCGGACATCACAACCTGACAGATAGAGAGTGGAGCTACATCCCCGGTACTTGCAGAGACCCTATGCATTTTTCTAACCCCTTATCGCACTTGCCGGGATTCGAACCCGAGACCTAACCCTTGTGGCACTCCCTCGCTACAAGTTGAGTTACGCCGACTGGTAATTTTGGGTTTCTTTGAATTCGCTGCTTGGGAGACAGAACTCTGGATTGCTGGACTAAAAGCATGTTTGGTAATAATGAATTAGTTAATTCTGCTGAAATTTATAAAGTTTTGGCTTAAATGACTAGATTGACTAACTCTGCTGATTTATGAACAAATTGTATTTAAAATATTTTCTATTAATAAAATAAAGAAATAATTATATGAAAAATAGTTAAAATGATCATCTACAATATCTCAGTCAATATAACCAGAAAATTAAATGCAATCTTATTTTTTCTTGGGAAAATTGCACTTTTAGTCCCTAAAATAGTCACGAAATTAAAATGTCAGACCCGTGTTCCCAAGTTTGTAAATGTCATCCCTCAATTGTCCTAAATTTTGTAAATGTGTTACTTTGAGAAGTGAAATATACAATGTGGGCGAGAGTACATTTCACCCCTTAAAGGATCACATTTACAACAATTTGGACAATTGAGGGGTGACATTTACAATATCAGAAATACAGGTCTGACATTTCATTTTTGTGACTATTTCAGGGACTAAAAGTGCGATTTTCCCTTTATTTCATAGTATTACAAAAAGTAGCATGAGAAATCAAAAGTTACGTGTTTACCGAAAAGATTGGCTGATAAGTCGAAACGAAAAACAAAGTCACCAAACGGGCTCCAACTCTACGGATATATTAGGTTTTTTTATTTTTTCAGGATGGGCTTAATATTTACACCTATATACTAGTTAAAAAAGAAAAGCTGAGGGTGGGCCTGGCCCTCCCAGACCCTAGGCCCAATCCGCCTCTGGCTGAGTGCTTGTTGGAGAGGTTTTTCGCACCGTCGGGTTTTATGGCATCCCATCATTCAATTTGCATGGACAACTACGCCCTTATGTACAAGGTCAGTGTAGTCGAGTTCGGATAGATCATAATCGGGTTACATGCCAATTAGATCTTTTGTCCACAGATTTTATCAAATTTGGTTTCGATCAGAACTGGTTAAAAATCCAGAAATTCGATTTGTACCGTTTAGCCAGAATTATTTGATAGTTACCTAATGATTCGGCAAACAAAACTCAGTATTTTAGAATTTTCATATTTACTCTTAGAGTTCCAAATGATGCCCAAATATGGAAGGAGTATTATTGTCAAGACACTCTAGAATTAGTTTTACTAATTTGGTAAGGTAATGACTTGCATTTTGGCACATTAGTAACCTTTTATTCATATCTCGATATTTAAGTCATCAAAATAGATGAGAATATCGGGTTCAATCTTTAAATATGAATCCTTTGATTATTCACTTGTACATTGAAATAAATATAATTGAATAATTTAACTCGAAATTAAATCTCTAATTATTCAAATATTCAAACGTTCTTCATATCTTCAAATTTTGTTCGTGAGATATTTGAATAATTATTCTCCGGATCTTCAAATCTTCAATCTTTATTCCTTATATATTCAAGTCTTCATAAGCTTGGTCCTTTGAATCTTTGATTGTTTTTTAGTGTAGAATTAAGTTTGAAGGATCTCCAATCTTCAAATAACTTGATATTTAACAAAAGGGCCATTTATGGTTTGATCTTTTGTTAAAGAGCTTCCCGGGATATGTGGTTCGATCTTCAATTGATATGAATATCTTCGAATCTTTAAAGCCCTGTTTTTCAGATCTTCGAATCTTCAAGTTTCATTCTTCATACCTTTGAACGTTCTCCATGTTTTGGACTTATTTTATCAAGAATGGACAAAATCACAAAGGATTATTCATATGTTTTTAATAAAATTTGTGCCTTGATTTTTTCTCCTTCTTCATAATTCTTTAGAGCCTCTCGGGAGATTGTCAGAGGGTTTCTGCAGCGTTTCTTCGTTTGGAAGTTGCTTCCGCCATTTCTCTCAACCAATACCCCTATTTATAGGTGTTGATAGGATGAAATATGCATAAGCATTGTAATTTTTGTTCATATGTTTAGGGCTCCCATCGAAATGAGCTTTGGACCCTATTTACTTGTATTTTCATATCTAGAAAAATTAGCATTTGTGTCATGTATCTGAACAGTTTTCCTAACAAGATTCGTAGTTATTTTTCATGCATATGGACGGATTTCACTAGATTCATTCTCCTCTTTACAAGTTGGATCATGTCTTTTATCCATTGCATCACTATGGGCTCAAAATAAATAAATTAATAGGACCAGTCCATTCTTTAAAGACTTAAATTATGATTATATAAATTAATTGGATATTTTAAATGAGCCAAACTAATTTAATCGCTAAATTTTACCTAATGGACCTGCATCACTATTTTCCTCTTGATAAGGCCCAACAACCGTCATAACTGAAATTGGTCGAATAGCACTTAAAAGAGGCATAATAAAATTGATAAAGCCTGGTAGCATTCAAAACAGACCGAATACTATAACTGAACGGCCAAATAAACCAATAACAATTTGAAATAATTTTCTATATTCACATCTACATTTCTCCTTTTTGTTATTTTCCTATACAGAATAGCTAAGGGTTCCACTCATGATAATCTATCTTCATCAACTACCAATATCGATCTAAAAACAGGAACCAATTCATTATGCTTGTTTAGTTGAGAAATATGAAACACCGAATGAATTCTAGAGTGTTCTGGCAATTGAAGTTTATATGCCACCTTTCCATTTTTTCTTATGATTTCAGAAGACCCAAAAATTTAGGAGCCACTTTTTTATTTCCCCTATAAGCTACAGACTGGTGCTTATGTTGCTGCAACTTGACATATACCCAGTCTCCTTCCAAAAATTCTCTGTCAGTTTGATGTTTGTCAGGTTGTACTTTCATTCTATCTTGAGCCCTTTTCATGTGAATCTTCAATCATTTAGGACATTCCTCCCTAGCCTCTAAGCTCCTATCAACAACCTCAACCAAGCAGTCACCCGTTACATAGGGAACATGACAATAGTGTTGACCATAGACTATTTCATATGGTATTTTCTAATTGTAGAATGGTAGTTAGTAATATGCCACCATTTTGCAAAGAAATCCATATGGTATTTTCTAATTGTAGAATGGTAGTTAGTAGTATGCCACCATTTTGCCAAAGAAATCCATATCGCTCATTCATTAAGGTTATCACCTCCCATACATGTGAGGTACGTTTTCAAACTTTTGTTAACAATCTTTGTTTGACCATCTATTTGAGGATGGTAAGTAGTGGACAACAAGAAATTTATTTATCGCATTTTGAACAACTATTACCAAAAATTGTTGGTAATATCTTATCTCTACCATAGCCAATGCTTTTAGACATTCCATATAGCTTAGAAAATGTTATCCATGTAGATCTTTGCCAATGTGCTGGCAATAAAAGGATGAGTTAATGGCATAAAATGTTCATATTTACTCAAATGATCTACTACCACTAAGCTAAGATAGTATCCTTCCAATGGGATTTGGGTAACCCTTTTATGAAATCCATAGAGACGTTGACCCATAT